GAGATCAGGAACATGACAGGGATGTCCACTCTCACCACTGTTGTTTAACATAGTGTTGGAAGTCCCAGCATCAGCAATCAGACAACAAAATGAAATAAAAGGCATCAAAATTGGCAAAGAGGAAGTCAAACTTTTACTTTTTGCAGACAACATGATACATTACATGGAAAACCCAACAGACTCCACCAAAAGTCTGCTAGAACTGATACAGGAATTCAGCAAAGCCATAGGGTACAAAATCAATGTACAGAAATCAGTTGCAGTTTTATACACCAATAATGAAGCAACAGAAAGAGAAATAAAGAAACTGATCCCATTTACAATTGCACCAAGAACCATAAAATGCCTAGGAATAAACCTAACCAAAGATGTAAGAGATCTGTATGCTGAAAACTATAGAAAGCTTATGAAGGAAATTGAAGAAGACACAAAGAAATGGAAAAACATTCCATGTTCATGGATTAGAAGAATAAATATTGTTAAAATGTCAACACTACCTGAAGCAATCTACACATTTAATGCAATCCCAATCAAAATTGCACCAGCATTCTTCTCAAAGCTAGAACAACAATCCTAAAATTGTATGCAACCACAAAAGACCCCAAATAGCCAAAGTAATATTGAAGAAGAAAACCAAAATGGGAGGCATCACAATCCCAGACTTTAGTCTCTACTACAAAGCTGTAATCATCAAGACAGTATGGTATTGGCACAAAAACAGACACATAGACCAATGGAACAGTGTAAAGAACTCAGAATTGGACCCACAAATGTATGGCCAACTAATCTTTGACAAAGCAGGAAAGAGTATCACATGTCTATGAGTATCCAATGGAAAAAAGTCAGCCTCTTTAGCAAATGGTGCTGGGAGAACTGGACAGCAACATGCAGAAGAATGAAACTAGACCACTTTCTTACATCATACATAAAAATAAACCCAAAATGGATGAAAGACCTGACTGTGAGACAGGAAACCATCAAAACCCTAGAGGAGAAAGCAGGCAACAATCTCTTTGACCTCAACTGCAGCAATTTCTTCCTTGACACATCTCCAAAGGCAAGGGAATTAAAAGCAAAAATGAACTACTGGGACCTCATCAAGATAAAAAGCTTCTGCACTGCAAAGGAAAAAATCAAAAAAACTAAAAGACAACCAACAAAATAGGAAAATATATTTGCAAATGGCATATTGGATAAAGGGCTAGTACCCACAATCTACAAAGAACTCACCAAACTGCACACCTGATAAACAAATAATCCAGTGGATAAATGGGCAGAAGACATAAATAGACACTTTTCCAAAGAAGACATCCAGATGGCCAATAAGACACATGAAACAATGCTCAATGTCATTCATCATCAGGGAAATACAAATCAAAACCACACTGAGATACCACCTCATGCTGGTCAGAGTGGCTAAAATGAACAAATTAGGAGCCTATAGATGCTGGTGAGGATGTGGAGTAATGGGAACCCTCTTGCACTGTTGGTGGGGATGCAAACTGGTGCAGCTTCTCTGGAAAAAAGTATGGAGAAGTTACTCAAAAAATTAAAAATAGTACTACCCTATGACCTAGCAATAGCACTGCTAGGAATCTACCCAAGGGATACAGGAGTGCTGATTCATAGGGGCACATGTACCCCAATCTTTGTAGTAGCATTTTCGACAATAGCCAAATTATGGAAAGAGTCTAAAAGTCCATCAACCAATGAATGGATAAAGAAGATGTGGTTTATATATACAATGGAATACTATTTGGCAGTGAAGTGAAATCCTGCCATTTGCAGTAATGTGGATGGAACTTGAGGGTATTATGCTAAGTGAAATAAGTCAGTCAGAGAAAGACAGATACCATATGTTTTCACTCATATGTGGATTTTGAGAAACTTAACAGAAGACTATGGGGTAGAGGAAGGAGTTGTTCCTGACTTTGCTCACCCTTGTAAGAACTAATGACTCTTTGAGAACAAGATGCCACTGAGAGAATCCTAGAACAGAGCGGTGTGGAGGAAGCACACCTCTCCTCTTACCTCACACCACAGAGACCAAAACATGCTGCATTAGAAGGGTAAGGGGAGCAGCTACACGTTGAACACACCACCCCTCCCCCAGGGCCAGTGCAGCACCACACAGAGAGGCCTGCCTTAAGCCTCTTGGTTCTTCTAGGAGGAAGAGAACCCAAAGGTAACAACCAGCCACACCCAGCATTGCGTGTCACTTGGCAGGAGCCTCTACTCTAAACTTGCACCGCAGGGATTGCTGGGGAATCTGCAGGGCTCACTCAGCCATAGTGAATTTGATTGTGACAGAAGGGCGGAGGGGCAAGAAACACACCCCACAGAGTTTGTCAGACCAAGTTCATACCTGCAGTACCCAAGTAGTAATCCCAACCAGCAGCACTGCTCACCTGCAGAACCAAGTTGGGGATGTACTCTGACTAAGGGCCTTGGCAGGGTATAGATAGATCTGCCTGATCTAGATCCTGAAACAAGAAAATTTGCCAGCCTTTGAGCCTGGTTTGCCCACACCCGGGCAAGGCATTGAATCATAGCCCTGCCCACTGTAGGGAGTGTCTTCCAGTCACACCTGATCAGATGCTGGAAGCTGTGTGTCCCAGCAGTGGCTGAAGTGAGAAGCAGGTGGGAAGAGCTAACTGCCCCCAGAGCAAAGCCAATACCATGCATGGGGCGTTCCTGTGCTTACACATACAGGCAGGGGGCTAATTTATAGCCAAGGCTGAAGATGGCCCCTGGACCCTCCCAACAGAAAAGACTTGACTTACATCTTGATAAGGATTTCCTTTTTTGGGATGTGACAGCAAAACCTAAAGCTCAAGCAACAAGATAAAAAACATCAAACTAAAAAGCTCTGCATAGCAAAAGAAGCCATCGACAATGTGAAAAGACAACCTACAGAATAGGAAAAATATCTGCAGACCACACATCTGATGAGGGGTTAATGTTCAAAATATATAAGGAACTCATACAACTCAATAGCAAAAAACCAAATAACCCAATTCAAAAATGGGCATAGTACCTACATAGATATCTCTTCAGACATACAGATGGCCAACAAGTACATGAGAAGGTGCTCAATCACTAGTCATTAGGGAGGTGCAAATTAACTCACACTGAGGTATCAGCTCACATCTCTTAGAATGGCCATCATCAAAAAGACAAGAGATAACAAATGCTGGCAAGGGTGTGGAGAAAAGGGACCCCTTATGCACTGTTGATGGGACTGTAAACTGGTGCAGCCACTGTGGAAAACAGTATGGAGGATCCTCACAAAAAGTAAGAGTACAACTAACATGTGATCGAGCAATTCTATTTCTGGGAATAGATCCAAAAAACCAACACTAACTTGAAAACACTTGCACTCCCATGTCCACAGCAACATCATTTACAAGAGCCAAGACATGGAAACCATCTAAGTGTCCATCGGTAGATACATGAATAAAGAAGTCATGGTATATATACACAATGGAATCTTACCAAGCCACAAAAAGTGAGGAAATCCTACCATTTGCAACAACATGGGTGGATCCTGGGGGCATTATGATAAGTGAAATAAGTCAGACAGAGACAAACACTGGATGACCTCAGTTAACATGTGGGGGAAAAGACACATCCAGCCTCATAGAAAAAGAAGTCAGTCAGAATGGTGGTTACCAGAGGTGTAGGATGGCGGAAGGGGAAATTGGAGGCAAGTGGTCAAAAGGTACAGACTTCCAGTGATAAGAGAAGTAAGTACTCAGGGTGTAATGTACACTGTGATGACTGTAGTTACCACTGCTGTAGGAGTGATGACAGTTGTTAAGGGTCAATCCTAAGAGTGTTCATCACAAGAACTTTTTCTTTATTCATTTTTTTCTTTATTTCTTTCATTTTATTGTATTTCTAGGAGACGATGGATATTAGCTAAACCTATCGTGGTAATCACTTCCCAAAAACTCTATCAAAATAACTTAAACAATTAATTATTTAGAAGTTCTCTAGTTAAAAGTTAAACAGATTTTAAATCCAGTTTTACCTCCAAAAAAGTTCACTTTTCTACCCTGCAGTTAAAAATACCAAATATAGGGGGCACCTAGGTGGCTTTTTTTTTAAGCATCCAACTTTGGTTCAGGTCAATCTCATGGCTTGTCAGTCAAGTCAGGCTCTGTTTTGGATTCTGCATCTCCCTCTCTCTCTCTGCCTCTCCATTTGCACTGTCTCTCTCTCTCTCTCAAAAATAAACTTAAAAAAAAAATCCAAATACAAAACATTGACAGAAAGCACATAACAGAAAAGCCTTTTAGTCCATGACAGCTATTGTCCAATATGCTTATGATGAATCTGTGGAGTTTCTCTCTCCAGTGATTCCACAGGTATCCCGAGGTAGCTGGGAAAAAAGTCAATCTGTGTATATTTACATAGGAATTGCTTCAGAGGATATAGAGCAAGTCTTCTGAAAGCTTAGCCTAAGTGTGTATTACAAAGGCTGTGACAAGGAAAGTTCTCTTTAGAAAATAGTGTCTGGACCTGGCCCAGTGGGTCATAGCTGGAATAGAGTAACTGGTGGCCCTTCGAGATTCCCACCGCCCTCTGCTGAGTCGATCTGAAAGGCTGGAGCCCAGAAACCTGAATATTGAGAGATGCTCCTCAGGGAGACTGACATGGCCAGGTGAGAGAATTATAGTCTTGGTAATCAACACTTAGCTCACCACCAGGAAGGTAATCAAAGTAGGAGGTGCTACTCATTACTAGTTAGATCACCTTTGATATCCTAATTTCCTACAGACAGGTTTTTTTTTTTTTTTTACAGAAAAATAAATGAGAAGTGATAATTGTTGAAGTATTAAAACCTCTTGTATATTATGAATATGGGATTATATATCAAACATTTTTAATGTCCTGATGGGATAGCAAAGTATACTTATAAATTAGGAGATCATCTCAGATAGTCTTTAAAATGTAATCTTTGGTCTCTAGTCAAGAGAATAATGGAGTCTTAGGAGTGATACGTAAATTAAATTTAATTAAAGACAAACATCACATACTTCCACTTTCCCCAAAATGGTCACTTCATCTTAATTAACTAAATGGAAACTATGATGACTTAAGCCTTCATTCTGTGATATGTGTGTTTGGGTAAGTTTAGCCAAACAGCAAAGATTGGGAAGTTCTACCACCAAACCTACAGCACTTTGAAAATGCAAAAGCCAACTTGATTCTCCAATCTGGCAATTCAATATGAGCTGCCAAAATGTCCTCCAATCAGTCCTTCCACCTCTCATAATCTAGGTTCCTCAGGGTCTATAACCTTGGGGTCGTTATGGTTTTCCCTTGACAGCTGTCCAGGATATAGGAGCTCTCCATTAGGATTCCTTCAGTTAGCCTGGGCAACTCTGGTATCAGAGCCATGGAAGTTCAACATCGTCGTCACCAGCTCTGGAAGGTCAAAGTCGTGCTTCCACCCCCAGTCCTTCCGAGCATTGCTGTCATCAAAGTTCATCGGCCAACTATCCGCTAGGAAAAGACACGGAAGAGAAGCTTAAGTTATTCAGGCTCTAGATTTGCAAAAAGGTCTAGAACATTTTATATGAAGGTCTACTGTACAAGGTACCACCAAAGAAATTCACTCTTTGAAAGCCATCCTTTGAGCAGAACAGAGGGGCCATTATGTGCAAACACAGCCACCTTCTTGGATTAGAACATTCTCTTCCATGCCTCCTGTCAGGCACCGTGAATTGTGACACACCATGAAAATCTGACACCAAGGTGTAAGGTAGGAATCTTGTACTCAAACAGTGCCCAAGGGCTACAGTGGCAGAGTCCCAGCATTGGAGATCCCAGGGAGGTTTTCTTATGCTGTCTGCTTGTTTTAACTATAAAATGGTGAAATGCTGACCAGCTGTTCATTTGGAATAGAACTATCCACCCCCTTTAGATATCATTTCCCCAAACTGTAGCATCTGTTGGCCCAACAGCAGCTCCTTCTGCAGAAGGTGTCAGGACCCTCCTTATCCTCCGTGCTTTGTGTCCTCAGGGGACTCCCAGTGCAGACTGAAGCTTAACTTTGGTTTTCATGGGGTTTGCAACAATGTACCAACCTATGGCCTGTCGAACAGAATCCACCTTGTACGTGATCTGGAATTCTGGAATGTGCTTGAGAAGCTCCTGGGCCAGGTCCTCAGGAGTGAAGCTCATGGCACTGACGTTGTAGGTCCTCATGGAGAGGGACTCTGCCGGGGCCTCCATCACTTCCAGGGTGGCCCTCAGACAGTCATCAATATACATCATTGGGAGCCGCGTGTTGGATTTCAGGTTGCATTCAAATTTGCCATTCTTTATAGCATCATGAAAGATCTGGACTGCATAGTCTGAAAGAGAATCCTGTCTGTGGGTCTTCTTAGAATAAAACAGCGAATGAACCCTTTGCATTAGAGCCGTGGTTCTCACAGGCCTTAGTCTCAGAACTTCTTTAGCTCTTAAACAGCACTGAGGACCCCTTCCAGGAGGTCTTCAGTGAGAGTTACATCAGTATCTACAGCACCAGAAATTAACTGAGAATTAAAAAAAATTACTCCACTTTAAAATGACAGTAAACACATCATGTATTCATATATATGGTATTTTATACGAAGAACATATTTTCCAAATGAAGGAAAATTTAGTGAAAAAAATGGCATGTTTTACTCATGTGACAATCTACGCTGCACGGCTTTAGCGGGAGACATTGGAGCCTCCTGCCCCCTTGTGCGTCCAGGCCACGGGGCCACCACACAGCACACAGCCTCTGACAAACTCCTCCGTGCTCTTGGAAAGGAAAGTGACAAAGGAACAAACATCTTAGTGTTGATATGAAAATGGTGTTGACCTCTGAGACCCTTTGACAAACACCAAGGATCCTGAAAGGTTCCCAGGAGAGGCACTGTGTTAGGGCAAAAGCTTTTTCAAAAGCAAGCCAAATCCAAATCTCCTTTAAAATCCCTCAGATTTTGTCAAGATTTATCTTTTATATTGTATCTCAGGCTCCTCATATGGAGGTTACTAAATATAATGCATGCTTGAGTACAAATTAATAATAATAATAATAATAATACATTTGCTCCTTTTAAAATATACAATGCTTCTACTCCTAAAACCAATATTGCACTGTATGTTAACTAAAATATTTTTTAAATCATAACAAATAAAATAAAATATGCAATGCATGCAGTCTACTTTCTGCATTAAGAAACAAAGCTCTCGGGGCACCTGGGTGGCTTAGTCAGTTAAGCATCTGACTCAGCTCAGGTCATGATCTCACAGTCCTTGAGTTTGAGCCCCACATCGAGCTCTGAGCTGTCAGCATTGCTTTAGATTCTGTGTCTCCCTCTCTCTCTGTCCCTCTCCCGCTCGTACTCTCTACGCTGCACGGCTTTAGCGGGAGACATTGGAGCCTCCTGCCCCCTTGTGCGTCCAGGCCACGGGGCCACCACACAGCACACAGCCTCTGACAAACTCCTCCGTGCTCTTGGAAAGGAAAGTGACAAAGGAACAAACATCTTAGTGTTGATATGAAAATGGTGTTGACCTCTGAGACCCTTTGACAAACACCAAGGATCCTGAAAGGTTCCCAGGAGAGGCACTGTGTTAGGGCAAAAGCTTTTTCAAAAGCAAGCCAAATCCAAATCTCCTTTAAAATCCCTCAGATTTTGTCAAGATTTATCTTTTATATTGTATCTCAGGCTCCTCATATGGAGGTTACTAAATATAATGCATGCTTGAGTACAAATTAATAATAATAATAATAATAATACATTTGCTCCTTTTAAAATATACAATGCTTCTACTCCTAAAACCAATATTGCACTGTATGTTAACTAAAATATTTTTTAAATCATAACAAATAAAATAAAATATGCAATGCATGCAGTCTACTTTCTGCATTAAGAAACAAAGCTCTCGGGGCACCTGGGTGGCTTAGTCAGTTAAGCATCTGACTCAGCTCAGGTCATGATCTCACAGTCCTTGAGTTTGAGCCCCACATCGAGCTCTGAGCTGTCAGCATTGCTTTAGATTCTGTGTCTCCCTCTCTCTCTGTCCCTCTCCCGCTCGTACTCTCTATCAAAAATAAATAAACATTAAAAAAATAATAAAAAATGAAAAAAAAAGAAATAAAGCTCTCTGCAGGATGAAACAAAGGCTGTATTAAAAAAACTGGTATTTCCTATTTGGTGTCTTCCTACATTGCAGGTGACAAATATGTCCTCAAACACTATCGGATTCCAGCACTGTGGGTGGCCAATCCTGAGCTGGATTTGGAGCACCAGGACAAGTGGCCCTTAACAAGTTCAAGTCAGTAGGATTTCGTGAGCTGCCCAGATGCACCTCCCAGAGGGGACGCAGGACCTCTGTCAGCACATGGCTAAAAAGACGGCTGGTCCCTCACGTCTTCACAGCACTAAGAAAGCCCATCTTATGTGGGACAGAAACAGAAAATGACACTCACCAGTTGTTCCTCCACCAGGCTGGGAGTCCGCGGAGATGATTCCAGGGTATCTCAGGCATCGGAAATCTAACCCATACCGGTAATGAAAATACTACAGAAAAGAGAAGAACTACTTTAAAACCAATCTTCTAAATCAAATAGAACAAAGTTAAAACAAAACAAAACAAAACAAGAACGCTTCTTTTTCGGTGAAAGATCTTTCCATGCAGCTCTATTAAAATACTCCTAAAGGGAAGGAGACTGTAGGATTTCTAAGAATCACTCATTTTTCTTTAATAAATAACCCTGAGTCTTTTATCTTCAAAAAATTATCACTCTGGTGACCTATTAACACGGTAAATAATCCATCAACCCACCACATTAGGGATTTCCGACTTTGTTTGGAAGCAAGTCCCTGCTCATTGTCCTGAACAGTCCTCCACAGGCAGGGTCCCGCCGTGCAGCATTGGAAAGTGCATGGAGGGGGGCAGGGACAGTGGGAGAGGAAAGCAATAACTGATATATCAGCTAAGGGAGGAGACACCAACATTAGCTGTACAAAGACAATGATCATTTGAAAAACTAAATCCCAAAGTCATCTGATATTCTCTAGAACACAAAGTTTTAAAATCACCTCCAGTAACTGCCAGTACTGGGAGCCTGGACCAGTACACAGAAGAGAGGCAGCAACGAAGGAGAGGGTGCCATTCGAGGGGCCTCTAGGAAGGGTTGAGTGTTATCATGTGGCCAAGGGCTAAGCAGTTCTGGAGCTATCAGGACCTGCCACTTGGCAAACACAATCAGTTTAGGGGCACTTCCGGGGGCTGGGAAGGGGGAGGTGGTAGGGACAAGTCCCCTCCAAGGATGAATCAGCAAGAGTTGGAGGCAAAAACAAACAGAAAAGGCAACACTGAGACGACATGCCAAGTAATGCTTACTTCTCCCATGAGCTCCGCATGGACCTTGGACACCCCGTAGATAGTCCTGGGCCTCTGAATACAGAGATCGGGAGTTGGATTCCGGGGAGAAGTAGGTCCAAAAGCTCCAATCGTGCTAGGCACAAACAATCGCAAACTGTGCTCCGCTGCAACATCCAGGACGTTATGCAATCCTGGAACGAACAGACGTGATCACGGTCTGAAAAGTCTCTAACCGATGAAGTAAAAAAACCAGCAAACAGGTCATTTTGGGCAGGACCCAGAAACTTACCAGTGATATTTACGGCTCTGGCCAAGGATACGTTTGCTTCTCCAACGGCACTGAGCAAAGCGCTATAATGAAACAACCAGGTGATGCGGTTGTTTACCACGATCTCCCGAAGATTCTTGTAATCCAGAATGTCAGAATAAATAAACGGGCCTATGAGGAATACAGCGAAACCACAGCATTGCAAGTTTGGGGTTTAAAAAGCTAAGTGAACTTTCTCCCTGTCTCCTGTTGACTTGTGAATTCCATTAGGGTCAACTTGGTAACTAAGCCACTTGGATGCTATGCAGCATTTTTCTTACCCCAACCACCCGACTGGTAATAATAGCTGATGCTTACACAACAGCTGTGCTTGCCAGCCACTGTCCTACGGGCTTTCTCTCTATACAGCTCTCCCACAGCCTTTGAGAGAGATACATTTTACTTAGGGGGAAACTGAGGCACAGAGAGGTAAGAACTAGCCAGGATAAAACTGAGACCAAGTGGAAAACTGGGTTTGCAACCTGGCAGCTGACTCCAGAGCTGGCCCTGTTACTACCACCCGGACATGCACTCAGTGACTTCACTCTGTTGAAAAGTTACATATTTTAAAAGCAATATAGAAGTGGATTTTTGAAAGAATATACAGCTTGGTAGAGAAGAACCATGAGCAGGAGTTCATCAAACCTGGGCAGGCTGGAGGTAGAGCCCGTTTTGTTGGGTGGCAAGTTGCCCCCAGTGGCCACATGGTAACACTCAACCCTTCCTAGAGGTCCCTCGAGTCGCATCCTCTCCTTCGTTGCTACCTCTCTTCTGGGTACTGGTCCAGGTTTTCAGGCTCCCAGTACTGGCAGTTAGTGGAGGTGATTATCAAATGTGGTGTTACGGTAAGTACCGGTAAGCTAAATGCTGATGTGGGGCCACACAGGACTCGCAGACGTTGTAAAAATGTTCCCAAGGTAGGAGAAAACTTGAGTAGAGGAGTCTGAGGCGCTTGTGTGAGTGCACAGTAATTTAAGAGCAGATCCATACATAGATATGAGGATTAATTTCTCCAAATATTTAAAGCTCCCTTTAATAATTCTATAATCTCTCATTATAGAACTTGATTTTTGTTTGTTTTCCCTCTGGGCCCAGAAGTTAACTAAACACTCAAAAAGGCAGGAATCAAACTTTTGATTCCAAAAATACTGTCCCAGGTAATACCCAAAATATTAGCCCAAAACTTTACTTCAAGTTCAGAGCTCTCCCGTTCTTGTAGCACTTGACCGAATAGCAACCTTATTGCACACATTTTCCAGAGCTACGGGGGGCAAAAGTATGAGATTTTTATTTTATTTTACTAGGCTCTGAGCTGTAGCACAGTCGTCTTGTGAGGCAATGCTTACTGCTCCCATGGGCTCTGCATGGATCCTGGACACCCCGTACGTGATCTCAGGGGAGATCATGACCAGAGCCAAAGTTGGATGCTTAACTTGACTGAGCCACCCAGGTGCCCCCAAAATATGAGATTTTTAAAAGTGACACAACTCTGCCTCATAAGTGCTTTCCTTCCAGCATGGAGCCCAATCTAGTGCTTGAACTCACAACCCTGAGATCAAGACCTGACCTGGAGAGTCAGATGCTTAACCAACTGAGCCCCCCAGGTGCCCCAATAATGCCTTTCTTTTAATCACAAGCCTGGTTATGAGCTGCTGTACACAGTGATTCCATGAACTGCCTCTCTAACTGTAGTCTGAAAACAAAAGCAAGACATCAAGAGACATTGATCTCTTACCACTGTGGAAGATGTGATCAGGTGGTTTCCTGATGTCGGATAAAATCACATTGTCCTTCCCAAATCGTTTCCTAAAGGGAAAAATCAAAACACATGAGTAGGTGCATCTAGGATATAACTGGTTCAATGAAAACACTTTTTCAAACAGGGCAAAGGACCAGTGTGGGAGAGGATGAGCCACGGACCTGCTACAAGTATATGATCTGAAGAGGCAAAATAAAATGTATTCTAAACAGCCATTTAGCTGGGACACCTTTAAAATGGTAAAGGGCAAGAAGGAAGAGAAAAATTATATAATAAAATGGCACCAAAGACAAGCTGTACATACTGAAGAATTCAGATTTTCAATTTTAGCTTTTTGGGGTCTTACCTCAAAAAGTTAGCAAGCCCCACTCCAAGCTGGCCAAGACCCCCTAGATGAAGAAGAAAAGAGTAGACCTTTAATCCAAATGTAACTGATTCTATAATTCCCAAAACACAATGACACATGAAGACCATATGGCAATCTCAGCTAATTAGGGAAAACGCTAGTCTGACCTGATAGAACAAAATCACCTCCTCTAAGCTGCGACAGAGATCAGTGCAGGCAACATTAGTTTCAGAGACAAAACTCTTTCCAGCATAAAGTGGCTGAGGGAAAGAAAGCAAGGGTGCAGGAAGAGAAAACCACAAGAAAGCCGGACAACCTCCTAGATTCCTGGGCCAGGAATTCTCTCAGACCTGCCCTCACTATTGGATGGGCTCTGACGCTGGTGTGCAACAGGTGCCAAAACACTCAAGGTCAAGTATAAGAGTTTGAACATATCAGCCTCTGGTGGGATTATCCAGACGCCCATCCTCCAGCAGAGCTGGGCTGGGACAGGAGAGGGGAAAGGGGAGACAAACCAGGAAGTCATTGGAAAAAGGGGCAAACAACAGAATCAACAAGGAGCCATGAAGAAAATTAAAAATGAATCTTAGGGCTTCCTGCTTAGAGGCTTAAAAATGCCACTGATGGGGGCGCTTGGGTGGCTCAGTTGGTTAAGCCTCTGACTCTTGCTCTCAGCTCAGGTCATAATCTCATAGTCTGTGACTTCAAGCCCCATGTCAGGTTCTGGGCTGACGGCACGGAACCTGCTTGGGATTCTCTCTCCCTCTCTCTCTCTCTGCCCCTCCCCTGCTTGTACACGTGCTTGTTCTCTCTCAAAAGTAAATAAATATTGAAAACAAAATATGCCATTGAAAGAAGTGGAGAGATTGGGGGCTATGGGTACATTTGGGGGAATGCAACTGTAAATTTCATCTGAGAGAAATAAATGACGCAGGGAGATATAGAAAGTGGGGTTTCATGTAAGCACTTGTTACTGTGATACTAGAACCAAGCCCACTAACACCACTGCCGGGTTCTAGAAGATGCGCTGTTGGTGGAGGCAGGAAGGAATTAACCAGAGAAGCGGGTAAACCAGGAAGGACAGCAGAGATGGGAACCGACTACACCTGAAGTCAGTCTCAGCAGGAGAAGAGAAGGGGGCGGCAGTGACAGAAGCACACACACAGCGTGAGGAAGGTAGGAAGCCAAGGGAAGACAATCTGGCGGGAAGGAGGAAATAGAGTGGGCCTATCAAATCAGAGGTGGGCTTGGGTGGGCTGGAAGGACTGAGTGCTGGGTGAAGCCCAGAGCGAGGAGCGTAGGACATTGGGGGTTGGGGGTACATGAAGCAAGGGTCACAGGGAGCGAGTCCCGGTGGCAAAGAGATGAACAGTGTTGTGAGATGCTGGCAACGAGTTCCTCAGGCAGGTCCTGACCTTCCTTCTCTGTGGCCCACATGCAAGCACGCAGCAGCTGCTTGGGACAGGTGGCGTCAGGTCAAGGTTGAATAATTTGGCCAAGAAAAGATGTGCCTGATGCGCAGTCCATGCCCCAGTCCCTGCACACTCCCCATCCATGAGCCCTTGTCCCAGGCGATCCCAGAGGTGAAGGGCACGGAGCTTCACAGCGGCTTCTGGGTCCCCAGGTCTCTCTATCCTCCCTTCAGACCATAAAGAATTACAACAAGGAGGGAGGCCTGGGTGGCTCAGTTGGTTAAGCATCTGACTCTTGATTTCAGTTCAGGTCACGATCTCATGGTTCGTGGGACTGAGTCCCATATTGGGCACTTCGGTGACAGCATGTAGCCTGCTTGAGATTCTCTCTCTCTCCCTCCCTCTCTCTCTCTCCAAATGAATAAATAAACATTTTTACTTAATTACGACAAGGAGACAAAGCACTGGCAATCATGACAAAATAAGGATTTAGGGCTTGGAATATTCTGGAGGAAGCCAATAGTGGAAAAGGTAGTTTCTGATGAATATGTTAGCTGGTGGCATGGCAGACCTTCCAAACACAAAGTCACACAGAGACAGCACAGAAAAGAAAATAAGAATCAAGCTGCAAATGTGGAAAAAAGCAAAAAAAAAAAAAAAAAAAAAAAAAGAAAAAGAAAAAAACCAAAAACCCACACCCCAACCTGTAATTAAGACACGTGGCTGCTCCGTTCCAGAGAAAGAGGCAGAGTGGAAGTTGGCATCTGCTGCAATTTGCCGGGGGGAGGTGCTCAGAAACTGGGCCAGTGGGGCAGAGATCCAACAGCCATAGGCTGGGCTCCCCAGCATCTGGCCCACAACCTGCCGCAGCACCCCAGCGACCGGCATTGCTCTTCAAATTCCCTGCAACAGAAAAGGAGCAGAGCTCATTCCACAATCTTCTATTCTCCCAACCCTTCCAAACACAAATTCTTTAACTGAAATGAACACTAAGATTGTCAGCTCATGACCAAAAAACTGTTTGGAGTCAGGAAGTGAACTAAAGAGGCTACCGAGTGGGAAGCTGGTCAAGAGACTGCCATGAGCTGGGCTCTGTGAAAAGGGGATCAAACGCTGTAGGCAACAAAAGCCGGGCAGAGATTTAGAACTGAAATCGCACAATGCTGACATCAATGCATCGAACGGTCACGGAGGAGGTGACTGTATATAGAGCCAGAAACACCAAGTCAGTGGATTCCAGTGAAGCCTTCAAATCTTTACAACTGTGTCCATGCACCATCAGAAGGCACAAACAGGTCCTAGGTTAAATAAGCCAGTGGTCTGTAGATCCTGTGCTAACACTCAAATGTTACCTTTAGAATGAACCCGACTAGAAAAGCAGATGGTTAAGATAAAAAGGCCCTTGGCGATATTTAATAAGCTGTAACTACTTTGTTTACTGCCATCTCCTTAGGATCATTTAGAAAAGCCATTTTTGGGGTGCGTGGGTGGTTCAGTCGGTTAAGCTTCTGACTCTTGATCTCGGCTCAGGTCATGATCTCACAGTTTGTGACTTCCAGCCCTGCTTCAGGCTCTACATGGACAGTGCTGGGCCTGTCTGGGATTCTCTCTCTTTCTCTCTCTCTCAAAAATAGATGAATAAACATTTAAAAAAAAAAAAAGGCCATCTTCTCCTTTCCATCCAGATTGCGTACATTTTATTTTAGTTTCCCTCCTCTTCCTCACCAGTTTTATTGCTTACTGACCATGAAATCAGTTCTGGCCTTAGGAGGCCAAGATGGTCCAATTACGCATGACTGGAGACCAGGGCTTCCATTTTCCTGATTCCATCCCCCGCACCCAGACAAGCATGTCACAAGAGTAAATCAGAGCTACCCCGCTTGCTCTGCTCATTCTCACCCTCTAAATCCAGGCCTGCTGCACACTGCACACGGCCCCATGGCTTCCACAGAGCTGGTAGATGAACCTTCAGAGCCAATCCTGTTGGCCTGCCCCCTTACAAAGAGCTGACCAGATCTCTACCACCTTCTATTTTGCATCACACAAGGAGAAGAGGTAGACACCAGCTGAAGACACTTCCAGTTTTAGATCTGAACTTAGCCTGCTACCACTCTCCGCTCAGCGCCTTGAGGTGGGAACAGTAACACAGCCCTTCAAAGCGCGGAGGCCCCTCGTCCCAGCTAACGCTGCCAACCAAGCAGAGGACAGCCTTCTGCTGGAGCTTCTCTAGCTTGCTGTGGGGGTGGTCAGGACTGGACAAGAGGCCCCCACTCTGGACCGCATTACAGGAAAGGTCCAAGCATCTCTTCTGGCCTCTCCAGGAAGGCCTTTGTTTGGAGAAATCACCCTTTAAGCCATTGTTGTCACACAAGACCAGGTAAGAGACCAGGTAAAAAATGCCGATTTTTTTTTTTTTTTTTTTTTTTGGCAAGGGCGGCAGGGTGGAGTGAATTGTAATTTTTTTCAATTGGAAACAAAACCTGGAATGGATTTGAGGCAATTGTGCCACAGCAGGTTTTCTTCAAGTGGCTAAACATAATTTAAAAAGCAAGTGGGGCGCCTGTGTGGCTCAGTCGGTTAAACATCTCTTGATTTCTGCTCAGGTCATAATCCCAGTGTCACGGGATGGAGCCACGTGTGGGCTCCATGCTGAGCATGGTGGAGTCTGCTTAAGATTCTCTTTCTCAAATAAAGAAAATACTCTTTATTTTTATTTTTTTAAAACATTTATCTAGTTTTGAGAGACAGAGAGAGAGAAAGCATGAGCAGGGAACGGGGGGGGAGAGAGGGGGACATAGAATCCGAAGCAGGCTCCAGGCTCTGAGCTGTCAGCACAGAGCCCGATGCGGGGCTTGAACCCACAAACCATGAGATCATGACCTGAGCTAAAGTCAGATGCTTAATTGACTGAGACACCCAGGCACCCTCAAAAAATACTCTTTAAAAAGGAACAATCAAAAAAACGTTTCTAGCGTGGGACTAGCAATACAAAAAAACCTGTGTGAGTACCTGGATAATACACCCGTTTTGCAATAATGCAACTCTGAAGTACATATTGCTGACTGTCCATACTCCACACTGAGTCACGGTTCCTCACTTCTACAACATGCTGACACTTTCTAAAGAAAACTACTTTAAAAAAAGGCATAACCCAGATCTTTCCTCTGATCAACTCCATCTAAATTTAGGTGTGCAGAAGGGCCTAGATTAATCCAGAGGAAGCTGCATGACATATGTGACTAGGTCAATTTTTTCAAGGTTTCAGGACAATGACAGTAAGATAAGGGAAGAAAAATACAGTGGAATAAAGTCCTAATCTCTTTACATGCATATTGTTAGACAGCAGGGGGAAACCCTTTACAGACAAATGACCCAAAAAAAGGGCAAATAAACAATTTGGAACAAGAAATGGAACACACTGTGCAATACCTGCACGTTGCTGTCATCATGTGTACCAACTCTTCATAGTTTGACCAAATATCTGCTTCCCTGATCACTTCATCAGCCTCAGCATCTGCTCACTTTTCCACCAAATTTGTCATCACGGCCAAGCCCTGCATTCATACAGCCATTGCCATCCTTATCAAACACGTGGACTGCTTCTCCAATTTCTTCTTCACTGTGTCTCATTTTTCTTGCCATTATTGCCAGAAATTCCAAGGAGTCAAGTGTGCCGTTACTATCAGCATCCACTTCACTGATCATGTCCTGTACCTCGGCTTCTGTGAGATTCTGCCTGAGAGACCTCGTTACAATTCCCGATGCTTCTGTTGTTATGGCTCCATCACCATCCTTGACAAATGGTAGAAAAGCTTTTTGGGATTCTGCAGTCTGCTCCTTGGTGCTCCATGCTGGTCTCTGAGATGCCACCACTCAGCACACCCGGCTTGGACTCAGATCTCTGACCCTTAAAGCCTTTTTCCAGCATGGGCAAGGGGATGGCAAGGAAGCCAAGAAGCAGATAGATTTGGCAGAACGTTTAAATATCAAAGACAAGTCTCTATTCCCCAAAGCAAATAATGGATGGCTACAGTTGAAAAAAGTGGGGGTTTTTTCTTTTAAGTTTAAAGAAGGGGTGTCTGGGTGGCTCAGTCAGTTAAGCATCCAACTATGGCTCAGGTCATGATCCTGAAGTTCTCTCTGCTGTCAGCTCTGAGCCGGCTTTGGATCCTCTGTCCCCCATTCTCTCTGCACCTCCCCCATGCTCGCTCGCTCGCACATGCTCTCTCAAAAATAAACATTAAAGAAATAAAAATAAAGATGAAAGAGGCTGAAGTCAGGGAAAAAGCAAAGCTTGAAGATATAAAAGACTTGCAACTCCATTTATCTCCTTCCCCACAAGGGGAAAACAGAGGAGGCTCACATTCTTAAATGAATATAAAACATTTTAGGTTAACAATGTGGACAATTCATAACTGAGTTGGTTCATCTTATCTCACTACTACTAACAGCTAACATTTGAAGCTCACATTCTCACTATATGCCATGGGCCAGGGAGTCAACTAGTTTAGTGCTTCTATTGTCACCATCATGGGACCATTCTGATTAACGATGCACGGACAGAAAACTGCCAACCATCTACAGCATATCGCTTTTCCAAGTGAAGATTATCACCTTGCTACTTATGGCCAAGTTCAACTGCATAGTCTTAAGGCAGCAATTCTCAAGTTTTCTGGTCTCAGGACCCCTTCACATTCTTAAAAATTGAGGACAACAAAGAGCTTTTGTCTATGTGGGTTACATTGAACGTTTGTTGTGTTAGAAAGCAAAAGTGAGAAATGTTTAACATAAAATTCATTTACAGTCAGTAAACATATAAACATTTTTTATGAAAATAACCATATTTTTAAAAAAATATAGTGAGAAGAGTGCCACAGTTTTACATTTTGTACATCTCTGTCATCTGCCTTAATGGGAAACAGCTGTATCTCACATGTGCTTCTGCACCCAATCTGTGACTTAAATTGAAGTATGTATAAAAAACTCAAACACCCAGTGAAAGAGTGGGGAAAGGGAACAGTGTTTTAAAAGCCTTTTCAGGGTCACCTGGGTGGCTTAGTTAAGCATCTAACTCTTGGTTTCGGCTCAGGTCACCTGAGTTTCAAGAGTTCGAGTCCCACATCAGGCTCTACACTGGCAGTGTGGAGCTCGCTTGGGGTTCTCTCCTCTCCCTGACTTGTGCTGTCTCTCTCTTTCAAAATAAATAAATATAATTTAAAAAAATAAATAAATAGAATAAAAGCCTTTTCTGGATACTCATCACTATCCAAAATTCAACACACGGTAGCTTCTTAAAAGTTAGTTGCAATGTAGAATCTGAAACCGTTATCAATGAACCTTTCGGACCCCATTACATTAAAACCCACTGGTCTATCTAGTGCTTTGAATGGATCCTTTACCTCTGAATGATTTTGTAATTTTATGTACTGGTTCAGCAAGTTATGCAGGGCTTCCAAATATTAACACACTTCACTGTATGATATCAAGTCATACTGATCTCATCAGAAAATTTCTAAATACTGGGAAGCCATCAAGCTCACAATGGTGGATACAAATTAATTGGCAATAAACACCAATAGCTGTTTCCTTGAAGTGACAAGTTCACTTGGTTCATTTTTTAGAAAATGAATTCAAGGGGCGCCTGAGTGGCTCAGGTAATTAAGGATCCCTCTTCGGTTCAGGTCATGATCTCATGGTTTATGAGTTCAAGCCTCGCATTGGGCTCACTGCTATCATTGCAGAGCTCCCTTTGGATCCTCTGTCCCTCTCTTTCTGTCCCCCTCCCCTGTTGTGTTCACACACACTCTCTCTCTCAAAAATAAACATTGGGGTGCCTAGATGGCTCAGTGGGTTGAGAGTCAGACTTGGGCTCATGTCATGAATTCATGGTCTGTTGAGTTCGAGCCCCGCATCAGGCTCTGTGCCGACGGCTCAGAGCCTGGAGCCTGCTTCGATTCTGTGTCCCCACCCCCTTCTTTCTGCTCCTTCCCCACTCACACTCTGTCTCTCAAAAATTAATAAATATTTTTTTTAATTTTTAATAAAATAAACACTAAAAAAAAAAAAAGAAAAATGTATTGCAACCATCCAAGTATGAATAACCCTAGATTTTCAGTTATTTCTTGAATAAAAAAGGGGGGGGTGGCGGTTCAGCTCACAATTCAATCATTTAAGTGCTTTACCTCAAGGCAACCCTTACACTTTGACATGGAACAAGTGTATCCACTTGCCACATGGCATCCTAAAATGATAGGTCCTCAAGTGTCAAGATTTAATAAAGCTTAACATTTTTACTATTATATAAAGGGCATTCTTATGTAAATCTGGCAAATTTTTCTTTTCTTTTCTGTTTTTTATTGAGAGCCCATGAAGAAGACCATCTACTGGTCATCTGACGCTACTGCCTTGATTCCTGTAAAGGCACCACTGGTTTTAGTCAGCACTGTTTTTTGCCCCATCAATGCAAATTCAATGCAATTGTCCCCAAATAAAGACTGAAATTTAACAACATTATTCTACACTGAATACTTTGGCACTGCTTGTGTTTGCTGCCAAGCACTTACTGAAAAGATGCTCTCTGATGACTGACTGGGTGCTGATACCAGAGGAATACAAACAAAATGATAAATCTAGCCAAGACTGCAAGTTTGTCTGTTTGTAAGGCAAAATTCACTTCTGTTAAGATACTAATACAGTTTTCATATTTGCAGCTACATTTTTAATTTGACAAGCTTCTGTATTATCAGAAAGTGACAGCGCTAATGATTCCTTTCAATGAATTTTTCATCCCAACAACGCTTTATTGTGTTTCTCCAGTCACTGCAATTTGATAACCTAGTCTGCTCAAAGCTTCCATAGTTTTTTCATTGCTAGTTTGGAAAGTTGTGACAAATCATTTTTGGCTTTTAAAGAGCTCGTCATAGGTACATGTAAGCCCTTCAATTCATTTTTCTTTTAGAGGACTCCGAATGGTTGATCTCAGAATAATGCTATTGGGACCATAATATTATTCAAAAAAGGTTCTGCTGCAAAAGACACATGATATAAATTTCTAACATATGTAAAACTGACACAATCTTTCACATTTTTATGTCTTATTTAGTTCTGTCCACTTCTCTTGAGTAAATTCTTCCCTTCCATTATTCAGGGAATTCTGATAGATTGAATGGTATACCTTTGAGTAGAAAAATCAAATTTTCTAATATCTCCCTGCTTAGCCAACAATCTATCCTTAAATATAAAAAATATATCCTTTATTTCAAAATAATTTTGTATCATTTAAAAATTTAGAAAAGTTTTCAAATGACTACATAAGCATACTTACTTTTTGTGGTTTTTTTCCACATACACAAAACTTAGGGATTTCAAAGGACTTCTTAAAAGAAAATGAGGTCAGAGAGGTAATAGTAGGTATAACTGAAGATAGCTAGTAAGCATGTAGAAGTACTAAAAACAAACTGAGTCCATCTCTGAAAATACATATTTATACTCCAAGTCTACTTACTCTTAGAGAGTTCTAGAAACATGAGATTCTAGAAGACACAAGCACACATTTCATTAGCCATCAGAGGAAAAGCTCATCACAAGTCATGTAGACTCTGGAAAACCCCACGGTACACTTGTCAGAGAAAGAATGAAAAAGGTAAATAACATCTCAGTCTTATTTTTAAACAGTTTGACCTCATGGACCCTAAAATCTATCTCATACTTTGAGAAGAGCTGTTCTAAAGTAAAATTTGCTTTGCCAACCTAGTTATTACATGTATAAAGGGAAACCATCAAAGATTCTCAGTCCCTCTTTAAAGATCAGATTATAGTCCACAGACTTTCTCTCCCAAACACCTGGTTTACTTTAACCGCAAAGGGATTAAAAAAAAAAAAAAAAAAAGTCAACAAGACTCCTCCCCAGAAATAATGGAGTACCTCCCAAACCCAGGCCTCTCCAGGGTGGTTAATATGTCACTTCTTCCATCTCCTGGCATGTACCCTATCTGCATGAACCACAGAACTCTAGGACAGCAGGGATATCAGGAAGAGGGTGGGGGTAATATAGATAAAGACTCAGAGCTCAAGTGGCTTTGGTCATTGTATAGATATGGCGGGGCTAGCTAAGGAATCAAGGAGGATAATACTGAGGTCTCTAATGTGTGCTACAGTAAGAATGGGCTCCCTGGGGAAGCAAGTCAGGTGAGAAGACAAGGAGTTTGGATTTGGACATGTTGGTTTTAGGTGCCAGGAGACAATATGGCTGTCTCTCTCATAAAGTTGTCAATTCTTATGAGCAGTTCCTAGCAGTACCTGATGCATGTCAGTACTCACCAAACACCATGTGGAACAGACAGACCAGAAGGAGAAAACAGGAAATATCAGGGGTTTGCCTACACCACACAAAAAATATAGAATGCCCCTATTCTCTGAAAAAATTACTTCAGTTGCTTGGGGGAAAAACTTACTTCAATTGTGATTGGTCTGAAGATGGAGAATTCTGTTTCTGGATTATTAAAAGAAACTGTAATATGAAACACTTAAGACCAACAAAATCAGCCTTTTCCTTGAGGGTACACCATACATTTCCTTTCATGTGCTTGCTGCCTTGTGATCTCCCTCGATTCTAGCCCTAATCATTCTTAGCCATGGGGACAGTAATTAAGAACATACTAAGTAGTATCTCCAGCAGTAAAGCATGAAGGTAAAAGTCACCAGCCACTGCCAGATGAATGGATAGACAAAATGTGGTATATACACACAACAGTATATTAGTCAGCCTTGAAAAAGGAGATCCTGCCACATGCTACAACATGGATTATGATCCATGGATCCAGAACATTATGTCAAATGGATAAGTCACTCCCAAAAGGCCAAATACAGTATGACTCCACTCTTAGGCATTATACAAGGTATCTAAAGTAATGAAAATCACAGAAACAGAAAGTAGAAAGGTAGTTACCAAGGGGTGGGGGGAAAAGGGGAAGGAATATCAATATTTAATTAATTGACACATAATTTCAGTTTTGTGAGATGAAAAAGTTCTACAGATCTGTTGCACAGGAACGTGGCTATACTTAATACAACTGAACTGTACACTTAAAAATGGATAACATGGTAAATTTTACACTCTGTGGTTGCAACCACAATTTAAAATAAAACTTAAATTCATTTTTTAAGAAAGTGCTTATAAATAAATTGAGGAAGAGCACTGCGTGCAAGCGGAGGAGGGGCAGAGAGAGACTCCCAAGCAGGGTCTGGGCTGTCAGTAGAGAGAGACCCTGACAAAGGGCTAGACCCCACAACCCTGAAATCCTGACCTGAGCTGAAATCAAGAGTCTGGCGCTTAACCAGCTGAGCCACCCAGGCGCCCCTACATTCATTTTTTAAAAAAGTTTCTAGCTCCAACAAATGATCTGCACATACATATATTGCTGAGGAGCTAGAAAGTTGGCCCAGCAGAGATGAATGCTGTCTCCACAGACCTAACAGTTCAGTTGGTGCCGACCAAACTCCAGTCTCATCCAAACTCCCAAGCCCTTCTCCCACTTAACTCCCGATTCGGTTCTTCTCCCTCTGCTGAAATCTATTTTATTCTCCTACTGGCTTCATCTTTTCTCCCAGTCTCAGGGGTCTCCAGGACCCATTGGTTGCTCTCAGCCTTCATTCCCTACTCCTCAAAGTGGGGCTTCCTAACCCTGGCCCTCTGTGAAACTGCTTTCATGGAAGATGTGCCCTAGCCTAGTAGCCCATTACCTCTTTTTTGCTCCAGTAAACTGCTGACAGCGCCCACCTTTATTTCCCCCTCTCAGCCTGCTTTAAGGACCAAGAACACTTACAAAACACTTCTGCAAGGCAATCTCTCCTTTAAGTCTTCCCCTCATTAAATAATACTAAATATGCACTCTTAACAGTACTGACCCAAGGAAAAATCAGACACCTCATAACTACTGAGCATTGATGAAGCACTTGCTTTCCTGAACTCTTACTTGGTCCTCCCGTAACCCTGAAGCTGAGATCTTTTCTCCATTTTGCAGGATGAACTGACCTGGCCAAGGCCAGGCAAATACTAATCACCAAGAAGGGGTAGGAAACCAGATTCGTTGAGTCTCAAACCCTCCTTCCGCCACAAGAAAAGAGATGCGATCACGTACCCAAGAAGACAAAGAGGAAACATCTCTATGGTCGCGCAGAGGACACCTTCCACAGGTCTCCCAACCCCCTCCAGCACGGTTCCCTCCGCCCCTCCCCAGGAGAGCACCGACCAGCCTAAGGGGTTCGGGACACCGCCTGTCTCTTGCTGTGTGAGCCTGGGTACACTCCTTTGTCAAACCTCAAGTTTCCTCAGTTTTAGAAAGGGGACAATGATGGGACCACCACACTAGATTACTGAGAGGATTTAACAGCGCGATCTAGGAAGAGCCCTTAGTAACTGCTAAATGTAAAGACTCCCATCAACGAGCTGGAAAAGTCTGGACTTTCTGTGGGGATGATCCGAAAGCCAAAAATGACCTAGAAAAAAATGCCTGAGCTTTTTAAAAAGCGTGAGATACAGAGGGTCTCAGAGGGCAGTCCGGCTCTGTAGAGCGGGCGTCCTCCTCCCAGGCACACTTGCCGGGTAGAGGGAACCCCAAAAGACGCCGGGGCTGAGCCGCACACGGGTCTCTGGGCCTCAGCCTGGCTCCCGGCGCAAAGGGTGTGGGGTCCCATCCTCTCCCGGAGTTGACTGGGTAAACCGGTTTTACGAGAACAGCCGCGCCAATCTCTCTACTCCTTGGTGGAGGGTGTCCCTTGCAAAGTGGAAGAGGTCTGGGGTCGCGTCCGGACGACTCGAGCGGTGTCCCGTCCCCGCCCCGGACCCCCGGCTCCCAGCTGCGCGGCGACTGCTGAAGACCCGCGCTCACGCCCGGGGCACACAGATCGGACCAGCCGGAGCCGGGGGGGTTGGGAGGGGGGTGGGGAGGGGGAATCTGCCCCGGGGTACAGCCGCCGGGATAAGGTCCGGCCACCTCCGCACTGACCTTCTGACCGAGCCTCCCAGGGATGCTGAGCTGCGGGAACTCACGCGGGAGCAGCACGCGGCAGAGGTCCTACGGCGCCGCGGGCAGAAACCCGAGCGCCTTTATCCTCTCGGCTCCCGAACCCGCCCCTCCGCTCACCAATCCCTTTCTTCAGCCCGCGCCCCGGAGGCTGCGGGTCACTAGGGGCGCGGGGTGCCGGAGGGGTGGGTCGGGAGGGAGGGCCCCCGTTGCCTTGGCAACCCTTTCCCTGTATAGGCCTCCGCCTCCTACCGACCGGTGGGGAATTAAGCGTCTGCGAGGGGCGCACGAGAGTCCCGCGCGCGGTGTATCTGCCGCGGCGGCGCCAGCCTGCCAGCCTTCAAGGGGCACCGTCTCGGTGCCGGCAGCTCAGCGAGGGCCTCCCACAGCACGGAAATTGGCCCAGCCGTAGCGCCCGAAAACCGGCTCGGGCTGGTGAAGAGCGGCTCCGCAGGGGACCTGGGGAAGCAGGCGGGACGCAGAAGAGGAAGTGGGAAGGATTGGCTCAGGAAATAGCCCTGGACCCAGAGTCCGGAGAGCTGGTATGGAAAGACCTTGAGCGAGTCATTTCATCTTGGTTTCCCACCTGAGAAACATCAGTGTCAAAGCAGATGGCCCCCAAGGCCACGGCCAGCAGAGTCAGCATCACCTGGAACTTGTTAGACACGAAAATCTGGGGCCGCGTCCCAGATCTGCAGACTCCGGATCTCTGGGGGCGGGGCCCGCGAGCTGCGTTTTAACAAGCCCTCCAGGTGATGCTCATGCGCGCTAAAGATGGAGAAGGGCTGGTCTCCGGCGGTGGTTCTCAGGCTTCGCTGCCTCTTAGAATCACCTGGGAGTTTTTGACTCTCCCAATGCCCAGACTGTACTCTGGACCAAATGAATAAGAATCTCGTTTGTGATGTTTGGGGAGGAGAAGCCCAGGCTTAAGCATTTTTTAAAAGCTCCTCAAGCGATTCTAGTGTGCCGTCAAATTTGAGTACGAAGCTTGGTACAAAGCAGTGTCCACCCACCCACCCACCCCGCTGCGATCTACTGAATCACAGTCTGCGTTTTTATTTATTTATTTTTTTAATATAAAGTCATTTATTACATTTCCTTACTATCTTTTTTTTTTACAAATAGTTTATTGTCAAATTAGTTTCTACATAACACTCAGTGCTCATCCCCAAAGTGCCCTCCTCCATGCCCATCCCCCC